ATTGTGAAATCACACTGTTATTCGAGGCTATTTATTATTTTCCATGTGATGACACCTTTGATGAGGAATAGGTATAAAAACAGTTAAGAAACATCAATATATTTGTATTATTTTTATACACACGTTACATTTAAAGCATACAAAGGTTTTACAGATATTACATATAACATTGGTATAACATAGAAGATTGTAAATTGTCACAGTTCTATATGCTAATGTAGTAGTATGTAATAATATATATAATATGTCTATCTGTCTATCTATCTATCTATCTATCTATCTATATCTATCTATCTATCTAATATCTATCTATCTATCTATATCTGTCTGTCTATCTGTCTGTCTGTCTGTCTGTCTGTCTGTCTGTCTGTCTGTCTGTCTGTCTGTCTGTCTGTCTGTCTGTCTGTCTGTCTGTCTGTCTGTCTGTCTGTCTATCTATCTATCTATCTATCTATCTGTCTGTCTGTCTATCGTATAATAGTGTGTAGAGGTAATGATCTGTAATAAATATTAATACCGGAAAAAAGATTTGAATAAGTACAGTATAGTGTATATTATACTTCCATCACGTAGTATAGAATTAACACATCGGTTTGAACAGGTTATAAAACATACATATTGTATTTTTTACACTGATCTTGTTGTAATGTAAATGTAAAAAAAACGATCAATCTGTGCCTTTCTGATTGCTGATATATAGTTGATATAGTATGGCATATAAATAGTATATAGTATAATGTGTGTGTATATATATATATATATATATATATATATATATATATATATACACACACATATATATACTTTGAAAAAAATATGTATATATAGTGTATATAGTATATACATAGTTGATATATATCGCTTCCGTTCTTTCTCCAGACAACATACCTTCTTTTGCCAGCAGACAACAAATACCACTATAAAAAAACAGTCAAAAGTGTGTAAACACATAAGGTTAAAAAATTATCTTTGGTCTGTGTTTTCGCACAAAAAAAATCTGTTTTGCGTTCATTTCAGCGTTCAAATTCAAAAAAATGATGTTAATAAAAAGCAACAATTACACATCACCTTTTATTTATCTATGTTATATTAAATTATCTTTATATCCCATTTATATCAATAAATATATATATATATATATATATATATATATCACCTTTTTCATAACAATATTTATACTTTATTACATTATATTATACATCTTACAAATATTTTATGCCTGTATATGACACCCAGACGTGTAACCAAAGTAAAATATTCTTCCCTGGCCACATAATATAGCATTCTTAATAAATGCAAGGAAACATTTGAAATAGCTGAAACAAGTTTAATATTTTTACACAGATATACATGAATTTGCTGTTACATGTACATATAAATAAAATTATTATTTTTAATAAAGTTTATAATTTAGCTTCCAATATACTTTGGTAAGCTGCTTAATTTTAAACCATACACAAAAAATATGGCATAGATACAAAGGTGTCCGTTTATAAACGGACACCAAAGTGGTTTATAGGCTGAAGTTGTAAAATACAAACTACTAATAAATGTATAAATTCCAAACTGAAGTTAATAAATATTTCTTCCCCTATGTGTATAAAGTCATATATGAAATATACGATTGTTGGGTATGGTATTGTTTCATGACAGTGTTGTTGTTTTTTTGTCCTTTGTGTGTTGTGTTTAGCTCATGTCAATATTAGTTCATCAGTCAGTATAGGATATATACACGCCTTGCCTCCAGACATTAAGGAGGTGATCATTAGGTTTTCAGTCTATCACCGGAGCTCTCTGGGGGATTCAGCCATACAAGGAGATCAGGTATTTTGACTTGCTGGCTACGCTTAATAAACGTGTTATGACACCCAGTGTGGGGATGTTTGTCACCTTTGGCTGGAAAGTGGATCCGAAATTAAAGGCTGATTGGAGAAATGGGCATTTCTGCACATTTCAGAGGAACCCAGCATGAAAGAACTACAAGTCACAGCATTCCCGCCTAGATAAAAGCTGTGATCGCTCTAATGTCACTGTTTGCTCAGCAGTTCAAAGCCACAAAGTGCATAACAGTTTACATAAAAGCACGTGACCCTTCAGTTCTTGTGGGACTACTAGTGCCACAACAGCCAGAGAGCCAACTCCTTCCCCATACCTTGATACTATCATAGACATTCTTACCGCCATAGGAACGACAGACACCAACAGATCAAAAAGTAAATGTCCATTTGTGGACTTTTCTAATCTGCAATTGTGTTTTGGTTTTCTGTCAAGTGATCTGTTACAAAAATTCATTTTTTTCTGGATAGTTTAGAGAGGTGAATTTGCTGTTAATTGTTGTTGCTTCGTTGAATCCAAATAAAAATAGATTTAACCATTAGTGTTTGCAGTGAGATGGGAAAAAAAGTTGAGTAATAAATAAAAATTCTGGTTTATACTAATAAAAAAAGAACACAATAATGATGATGATGATAAATAATAATACGAACAATCGTGATTATATAATAATGTAAATAATAATAATAGTAATACCAACAATGATGATGATGATTACATAGTGCTAATAATAATAATAGCAACAATCATGATGATATAATAATGTAAATAATAAAAATAATGCCAACAATCATGATGATGATTAAATAGTGCTAATAATAATAAATAATAATAGCAACAATGATGATGACGATAATATAATAGTGTAAATAATAATAGCAACAATGATGATGATATAATAATATAAATAATAATAAATAATATAATGCCAACAATGATGATATATAATAATATAAATAATAATAATAATATAATGCAAACAATCATGATGATATAATAATGTAAATAATAATAATAATAATGCAAACAACAATGATGATATAATAATGTAAATAATAATAATAATAACAATAATATAATGCCAACAATGATGATATAATAATGTAAATAATAATAATAATAATATAATGCCAACAATCATGAGGATATAATAATGTACATAATAATAATATAATGCCAACAATCATGATGATATAATAATGTAAATAATAACATTACAATGACAACTATCATGAACGATTATGATATAATAATAATATTAATCAGTGTATGTAATAATCTCTAACCTATATACCTGTTATTTATATTGATTTTGTTTTACAGTCAGTTTAACATTCGAATTATTCTGTGATCTCCTAATTAATGAAAACTATTCGCAAACAATTGTTGTCAATACAATATATTTTAGATTCTTTCACGCCTTTGAACGAATAAAATGATATCTAGCTGTAATTAAAATATCCTTGCTAATCCAAAATAAAAAACGAATTATCTACAAAAAATAATAATACTTACCTCTGCAAATTATTTTTTTATTTTATTTTTGTATTCTTCTTGACAGCCATTAAAGATACGAATAATTGCAATCAATCAAAGCCTCCAGTGCAGTTGTCACCCCATTTATTACTCTGATTTCATACTATCACTGCCAGTTTCTAGGCTGATCCCAGGACTGTATGGGGGGTAGGTGGGGGGGGGGACTCCAGATGACACAAAGATCTCTCCTAGAAAACTCTTTGCAATGCTCCCTGTGCGGGTCCCCCCTCCCTCCTGTTACTTGAGAAAACCGCCTGTTTGACACTGTAGAACAAGTCAGCGACCAATCAGAAGTGTGCTTCCCCCATGACCGGCCAATGGCGAGCTCCACATTGTTGTCAACATTTGTCTAATGCGAGAGCAACAATTGAGAGACAAGGGGAGCCGCCTGCAGCCTCTGGTCCTAGTTGCAACTTTTGTGTGGAGTGTGCGCCTGGCTGTCACACTTGCAAACTCCTGCTTGGGGGAAGAGGATCCGGCTGGACGTTGTGGTGGCAGATGTGGATTTATTGGAGGGGATCTGGGGATCTGGGACGATCAAGGTAACCTTGTCACATAGGATCCCTTTCATTCTATATAGGGATGGGGTCGGTGTAGCCAGCAGAGCTGTGCTGGGAGATCTAATTGGGGAATATTAGGAGGAAACTTGAAATCTGCCTTGATGGGTAAATGATTTCTGATGTCCATAATGCTTTAAACTGTTTATTGTAGATGTAGAATCCTGCGGTCAGGAATAGACTCTATTAGTACAGAATACATTCAGAGTGAGTGACATAAAGACAGCCATAGGATCCCCCTATTACTTCTGTAGTTGTGTCCTGAGAGTAGTATACTCATTTCTGTGCTTTGCCAGTCCTTCAGGTATTGGGCAATCAGAAGGTATTATAACAGCGGGGTGTGCATCTATAGGAGAGAATAGCTGCATGACTTTATTGGCTCCTATAGAATCTATAGGTGCCAGGTACTGGCCATAGAATATAGTGGTCAGGTGAGCAGAGGTGTGGGGTTCTGGGCAATTAGAAGGTATAACCCTGGGGTGTGCATCTATAGGAGGGAATATCTGTATGACTTTATTGCCTCCTATAGAATCTATAGGTGTCAGGGATTGGACAGTCAGACAGTATTTAAACCCTGGGGTGTACATCTATAGGAAGGGAATAGCTGTATGACTTTATTAGTCAGGTGGTGGACATAGAATTTAAGGGTCAGGTGGGTATAGGTGCCTATAAGTGAATGAGGGAGTAACTATAAATTAGGATTGAGGATTACCTAGGTAAAAAGTAGTGCCGGTTCTAAAATGGAGTTAAGCGGGGCCCCTTCTGGATCGCAGATCCCCCAGACTGCCACTTCCACTGCTCTGCCTGTCACCGTGGCCGGAACTTTGCTCAGGGGCCCCCAATTGCTCCTGCGGGCTGCTGAGAAGTACCCCCGCACCCCGAAGTGTGCCCGGTGCAGGAATCACGGGGTGGTGTCGGCTCTGAAGGGCCACAAGCGCTACTGTCGGTGGAAAGACTGCATGTGCGCCAAGTGTACTCTGATCGCGGAGCGCCAGAGGGTGATGGCCGCGCAAGTTGCGCTCAGGAGGCAGCAGGCTCAGGAGGAGAACGAAGCAAGAGAGCTGCAGCTGCTCTATGGAACCGCCGAGGGGTTTAGCGCTGGCCGCCGCCAATGGAATCATCCCACCCAGGCCCGCCTATGAGGTCTTCGGCACTGTGTGCACAGATGGAGTCTCAGGTAAACCCGCATTCTATTGCTTAACTACATCTTTTCTGTTGGAAGTCTGTCCTGTAAGAAGGAGAGCGGGCTGCGTTATTTAAAAGTAGTATGGAATAAAAGTATGAGAAAATGAAAAAAATATATATATAACCTGTAAACCTTACAAATCAGGGCAAGTGTTTGGTATCTATCTATCTATTATCTATCTATCTATCTATCTATCTATCTATCTATCTATCTATCTATCTATCTATCTATCATCTTTCTATCTATCTATCTTTGCAATAAACCTGTAACGTGCTCCAAACATCTATCTATCTATCTAAATTATTATAATATTTTCTATTTTTATCTATTATCCACTACACTGAAATAGATCTAGGGATAGATAGATAGAATAGATAGATAGATATCTATAGATAGATAGATGGATAGATCTCTTTATCTAATCTATCTATAATCTTTAATAATTATATATCAGTCTAAAATAATCGGATCAAGTTGTCAATCTGTAAATCATTGAATCAGTAAAGATAAAATAATTAAAAAAAATAGAATTTATTATAATAAATATCCTATTTATTGGTGATCAAGATGTCCCCTTTGCTCCGAATTTTACTAGTTTACTAGACACAGGCAGAAAGTCTAGGTGCCAGAAAGTCGGCACAGGAAAGGCTTTAAAACTGACAGTTCAACTGACAGTCTGACAGAAACTTTAAGAAGGCCAAGTGTGAAAATATACTCACATAATACTACAATAGGATAATAAAACACAAGCAGGTAATATACACTTTTTCTCAAGTTTATTTTACATTTTTCGGTTGTTGCAAAAACAATTACTTGCCCAAATGGAATGCAAAACTGTTCTTTTTTGTATGGTGTTATAATGTCCAAATTACAGGGTGCAGTAACTTAGCCAAAAAAAAAAACATTCCTTGGTAAACCCCATGTATATTACAGTTTATATATATATATATATATATATATATATATATATATATATATATATATATGTATATGAGGCATATTACTCTAAATGTACATATATGTTGTTAATGTGTATTACCATCCCATGGCATGTCCTCACCCTATCCTTGGAATGACACCATACTGTGAGCTATCCATCAGATATTTGCAGCAATGTGGTGTCCTGACCCAGTTCTGTCTCCTTCCTTCCTCCAGAGACCAAGATCCAGAAGTTTGACCTGTTCCCCAAGGCGCTCATACCCAGGTCCGTCACCCCTCAGCAGCTGAGCTCCGGGGCAAAGCCGGTGACCCCTGACAGTGAGTCGGTGACTGGAAGCACCCAAGGAGCCTCATCCCCTGAAGTCAGACCTGGTTCTGGGTCAGAAAACGGGGACGGGGAGTCCTTCCTCAGCTCCCCCATGTCCAAAGCTCTGAAAGAAGGCGAGGAAAGCCCGAGCTCCATCAGCCCGCTGGGCTCAGATTCTGGTTCTGATGGCGAGAAGGACGAGCAGGACCCAAGTTCTTCCTCCTCCTCCAGGCAGAGGACACCCATAGACATCCTGACCAGAGTCTTCCCCACCCAGAAGAGGAGCGTTCTGGAGCTGGTTCTACAAGGCTGTGGAGGAGATGTGGTCCAAGCCATCGAGCAGATCCTGAACAACAGAGGTCAGGAGAAGGGTGATGACACTTGGTCTAGAGAAGCGGCTCTTCAGAGCCTTCAACCTTCAGTGTCCACCAGCCACCGACCACTCATAGCTGGAGCCATCACCCCAGCTATAGGGACCCTCGGGAGCAGGTCTGCCTTCTCCCCTCTGCAGCCCAATGCCACCCACTTTGGGACAGACACCAACACTTACCAGCTAGGTGGGCACCTCGGACTCAACCCATTAAGACTGGCCTATTCTGCCCACAGCAGAGGACTTGCCTTCATGGCTCCTTACTCTACAGCTGGCTTTATGCCCACCCTAGGCTTCCGCCCACCTATGGACTATGCCTTTAGTGACCTGATGAGGGACCGGGCGAATGTTCACAAGGACCAGGTCTACACAAACGGTCTCTATGGGTCTGTAGTCAACAACAACACCGAGAAACAATGAACTGAGCTCAGCCTTAGGGACTTGATAGTTGGGTAGAGCTCCCTGAGACTCTGAATGTCCTCTAAGTCATGGTGACTATTGTCTGGTTTCTAGGACCTCTTGGGACCATCATCATGAAATCTAGAACTTCTGAAACTGATTTTTTTAAATAAATCCTAGTTCTTTTTTTGCAATTCAGTCAGCCAAGGCCTGGATACACTTCGTTATCAGATGTTCTGGGCGTTCACCCAACATGTTCACTTTTCTAAAATGCACTTTTATCCTTTTTAATTCGTTATCTTCTGTGCTAGTGGACGCCAAGCATGATCCAAGCCTCGGCGCATCGTCAGTGTACCCTATACCCATCTATGTACTCCTACAGGGCAGACCTGAACCCATCTATATACTCCCACAGGGCAGACCTGAACCCATCTATATACTCCCACAGGGCAGACCTGAACCCATCTCATATACACAGGGCAGACCTCATGTACACGGGACACGGGATTCTAAATTATTCTTGACTTTGTGGGGGAAGTCGGTGACTTGCAGGTAAAGGGACTCTAGGACTGCGACTGTCGTGTACAGAATTGTAGATATCGGCTACACAGTGGCGTCTGGTCATCTTTTTGTCTTTTTTTAAGTATTGCTGTTGGTTTCATTGTTTAGAACTGCGTAACACCTCAGTGTGACATCCCATAAACATCAGTAATAATAAATTGTATTTTAAAACCTTTTTCTGTTGCGGTGTTCTGAGGCAGTGATGTGCCCTATGATTGTACATAGACGGTCCGATCAGACATGCGATTTAGAGCTTATGGTCAATGTGCTGGGAATCCCGAATAACCGGCTGACCTGATGATCTGAAAGTGACACGTCTTCCCCTAGACATGTACCTACTGTGTTATTTGTTTTCCTCGAATATTTCACATACTTGTTTCTAGTAAAACATCATAATATCCGTGGATGTTTCCTCTAAATTATAAGGTTACAGACTACAACTGTACAAGACCTTCAAAAATACAGACTTTATATATGGATAGAAGATATCTTTATTTATATCATTAGATCATGTTTGCTTGTCTAAACTATATATTTATGTTAGGGCCACTGTGTGTTCTCTCTCTCCCTCTCCTATTTTCTTTTTCTTTTCTCTCCTTTCTTTTTTCCCAATCCCTCTCGTTTTCACTCTGTCTCTTCTTTCCATTTTCTCTCTATTTTTCATTTTCTTTTTTTTCATTCAATTATATTATTTTCCTTCCTTTCTTTCTTTTTTTTTCCTTAATTTTCTTCTTTTCTCCATCCTTTTTTCTTTCTTTTTTTTTTACAATCCCCCTTTCTTTCTTCTTTCCTCTTTTTTTTTCCCTTTTCATCTTTTATCATTCAGTTGTATTTATTTTTCTTTCTTTTATCTTTTTCTTTCTTTTTTTCTTTCTTTCTTCTTCTTCTTTCTTTCTTTTCTTTCTTTCTTTCTTTCTTTCTTTCTTTCTTTCTTTCTTTCTTTTCTTCTCTCTCTCTCTCTCTCTCTCTCTCTTTCTTTTTTTCCTCCCAATCCCTCTCTTTTTCTCTTTTTCACTCTGTCTCTTTTCTTTCCCTTTTTCCATTTCCCCTTTTCCTTTCCTTCTTTCTTTCTTTCTTTTCTTTCTTTCTTCTCTTTCTTTTTCTTTTCTTTCTTTCTTTCTTTCTTTCTTCTTTCTTTCTTTCTTTCTTTCTTTCTTTCTTTTTTTTCTTTTCATCTTTTATCATTCAGTTATATTTTATTTTTTCTTTCACTCTATCTCTTTTCTTTCCCTTTTTTTCATTTCCCCTTTTCCTTTTGTCTGTATTTTTCTCTTTCTTTCCTTCTTTCTTTCTCTTTCTCTTCTTTCTTTCTTTCTTTCTTTCTTTCTTTCTTTCTTTCTTTCTTTCTTTCTTTCTTTCTTTCTTTCTTTCTTTCTTTCTTTCTTTCTTTCTCAGGCGCCTGCCTGCTTTTATACGAACTGAATGGAACGTTTAGGTCTGTATGCATATTACACTGTTTTGCTAGATTTAAACAGGATTGTACCGAGAGATTGTGCAATCTGATTGTATAGTGTATGGCCAGCTTTAGGGTCACCTAACACATTACAAGCTGACCAGACTATCTTTGTACAAACAACTTTAGATTTACCAAAACAATCTAATACAGTATGAGAACAAACCTAAACTATCCAATCAATTTGTATTCAATCTGGGAGGCACTTGCACTAAATATTTGTTGGTAGATCTAAAGGAGATTGTACAGTCAGATTGTAACTTGTGTGGTGAGCTTTAATAAAGGAGTTGAGAATCTTCATTCAATAATTGTGTGAGTACTCACATTAATTATCCAGTCATGTGAAAAGCAAATTTATGTTGACTTTGCATGCCAGATCCTGCGCAGATGCTTTTCTTGTGATTAGATAATTAGGGTGAATAGTCACAGAATTTTTCTGAGTGAAGATCCTCGACTCCTTTAGTGAATCAGCATCACATTTTGCTTACCAGTACAGAGAAACTACTATGCCACCACAAGTGCAGCTATTTGAGTTTAAATGACAGAATATGCTGCATGCTGGAAAAAGACAAAATCTGGAGCTGTGCATAGTAGCCAATCAGATTCTAGCTTTAGCTTGTTCTATTAAGCTTTGAAATTGAAAGCTACAAGCTGATTTGTTGCCATTCACAGCTGCTCCAGACTTAGTAAATTCCCCTGTGTGTATTTTTTTAAAAATAACTTTATGGCACATATTGGGGAAATTTGTTTTATTTTTTTACCCTAGGTCAGCTCGCTCCTACTGTGCCACTAGAGGGTGCTGTAGTTTTGCCTATCCTATTTAGGAAGCTGTTAAGGGCACATTTAAGTGAATGGTAAAGCATGGATCATCTTGAGTGTTGCCGCAATTTGCATCAATGCATTTCATATGCGTTATTGCTTTGTGGTGTCATTAACTTTGATTGGAACTCCAATGCACCTGCGTTGAAAAATATATAATGGTCACATCTGATTTTCTGCACATTAGGGTGCATTTGCAGCCTTGGCCTTTCAGTTGGTTGCCTTAAAACAAGGCATGTGAATGAACTGTAAAGAAATAAAGGGCCTAGGAACTGTTCACGCTTGTCCATTTTCCTGCAGTAATGTGCGCGCATTATACTCCATGAAAATGGATTTCAAGGAGAAGTCAAACTATGTGGCCAGTTCATATCTACAAGAGCAGCTAATTGACTTTAAATGATAAAACATGCTGCATTGTGTGCATTTATGTACATTAAACACATTCACTGAAATAAAAGATACAAGAACATTTGCATGAATCATGTAGTCTAATGCCTTTTTAATGCATTTGTATCATGGAATCTCTCCATATAGAATATCTCCCTCAGTTTGTAAGAATACTGAACTAGAAAAAAGCACATATAAAGACAACAAAATGACTCCTAAACACATATTACCAAGGCTCTGCTCACATCTGCAGTTTGGGGTAATGTGTTGGAAAAATTCCTGTTTGCTGCGACTTTGATGCGGTTTCCAGTAATAAAACTCATTACATAGATTTCATGTAAAACATTGCAAAAACACACACGTGAAATACAATTTAAACATGGAATGCACATACAACACACCACACTTTTTAAAATGTTCAGATATGAATGAGCCTAAACCCGGTCTTATTGCATATGCAATATATTACATTTTTGCTCTTGTAAGTGAAAAAAGGGCGAGTTTTTCTGTCAACAGAGGAAACTGAAGTGCTTACAACATTAATAACCATCTCTTAGCATTGATATAACATGTCATAATCACAGTGAGCCACAAATAAAAATCTTAAGGTCCTTTTACACTCCTGTAATGTATCATCTGTGGCACTTCAACACACTAAAGCAATGAACAGTAGTACATTGTGTTACAAAAAAGGGTCATGTCTGATTTTTGGCACATCAGGATGCATTGATGTGAAATCATTTCATTGGGCTGCCTTAAATCAAACGCATGAGGCATAGCATGCAATAAAGCATGTGCATTAAACACCACAACAATGTACATGGGCCCTAAAGAGTATCTAAACACAAGAACACATATGTGACATATTACAACTTACCAGTTTATAGATGTGATGGCTGCATTCGTTTTTTTTTCACCTACTAAGTTGATAACAAACTTCCTGGCCTAGGGTGACAACATTCACTCATCAAACTGTATCTACAGTGCGCATACTTTTTCCTGTTTATGAAGTCATGTGATGTTCTTGATCCTCCATACCACTGATATGTGACTGTGTTGAAGGATTTAATAAAAAACAAAGCAAAAACTGTATCTTTGGAAGAGCAGCATTGTCACCCTAGAAGGAAAGTATTTTAGGAATACAGAATACCCCCCTTTCATCATATAATAGAGCAGTGGTCTCCAAACTGTGGGCTGGATGTGGCCCTTTGCTTGCTTTTATCTGGTCCTTGGGGCAAAATTCCCCCCTACTGTCAGCAACAGTGGGGGGCATAGTTCCTGCCACTGACACCAACAATGGGGCACTATTCCTTCTACTGACACCAATGATGGTGCTCTATTTCTCCCCCTAATACCAAAGCTGGGGCATTGTTTACTGCCACTGACACCAGGACGTTTTCTGCTTCTGCTGCCCCCCCCTAAAGTTTGAAGGACAGTAAATTGGCCCTTTTTAAAAAAAAAGTTCGGAGACCCCTGATATAGAGGGAGGTGTACTGTAGTCTACAGATTAGAAGTAGGAAGGGCTGATATCATTGCTTCAGATATCAGAACGTTATGGATTTCAGGCATGATCAGCAGGTGTTTTATATAAATAGCAATAAATGTGGAACCAGGAGACCCCAAGGTGCATTCCCGTGGTAATGCATTCTAATGGCCGGAATTCTGACCAATATATTGTATTACTAGAAGACGCAAGGACACGCTTAAAGGCACATGCATAACATGGCTTTTTACCGCGTTTTTGCTGCTGCTAAACTCCTGTAGGAGAAAAAAAGCATCAATAGCATACAGTGTGCATGAA